GAGACCGGGGTTCGAATCCCCGCCGGAGAGGTTCCTATTTCCTTATTTCTTCTTTAGTCAGAATGGTGACGCAGTCAAATAATCATAAGTTACGAAAAAATAAAAATAGGGTTTCAGTTGATGCCAACTCTCCCTTTTGAGAATCTAGTCCAGCAACACAGCTTAATTAGCAATTCATATTACAAATACAACTTAAAATTTAAATTATCGCCTGTTTAAGTTGGCACTAGCTATTTCAGTTGATGCCAACTCTCCCTTTTGAGAATCCAGTCCTGCAACACAGCCTAATTAGCAATTCATTTCAATAATACAACTTGAAATTTTAATTATCGCCCGTCAAAGTTGGCACAAGCTATTTTAGTTGATGCCAACTCTCTTTTTTGAGAATCCAGTCCAGCAACACAGCTAAATTAGCAATTTATATCAAAAATACAACTTGAAATTTTATATATCGCCCGTCAAAGTTGGCATAAGCTATTTCAGTTGATGCTAACTCTCCCTTTTGAGAATCAAGTCCAGCAACACAGCTTAATAAGCAATTCATTTCAAAAATACAACTTGAAATTTTAATTATCGACCGTCAAAGTTGGCACAAGCTATTTCAGCTGATGCCAACTCTCCCTTTTGAGAATCCAGTCCAGCAACACAGCTTAATTAGCAATTCATTTTACAAATACAACTTAAAATTTAATTATCGGCCGTCAAAGCTAGCACAAGCTATTTCAGTTGATGCCAACTCTCCCTTTTGAGAATCAGTCCAGCAACACAGCCTTAATTAGCAATTCATTTCAAAAATACAACTTGAAATTTTAATTATCGCCCGTCAAAGTTGGCACAAGCTATTTCAGTTGATGCCAACTCTCCTTTTGAGAATCAGTCCAGCAACACAGCTTAATTAGCAATTATTCAAAAATACAACTTGAAATTTTAATTATCGCCCGTCAAAGTTGGCACAAGCTATTTCAGTTGATGCCAACTCTCCTTTTGAGAATCAATCCAGCAACACAGCTTAATAGCAATTCATTTCAAAAATACAACTTAAAATTTTAATTATCGCCCGTCAAAGTTGGCACAAGCTATTTCAGTTGATGCCAACTCTCCCTTTTGAGAATCCAGTCCAGCAACACAGCTTAATTAGCAATTCATTTAAAATACAACTTAAATTTAATTATCGCCGTCAAAGTTGGCACAAGCTATTTCAGTTGATGCCAACTCTCCATTTTGAGAATCCAGTCCAGCAACACAGCTTAATTAGCAATTCATTTCAAAAATACAACCTAAAATTTTAATTATCGCCCGTCAAAGTTGGCACAAGCTATTTCAGTTGATGCCAACTCTCCCTTTTGAGAATCAAGTCCAGCAACACAGCTTAATTAGCAATTCATTTAAAAATACAACCTAAATTTTAATTATCGCCGTCAAAGTGGCACAAGCTATTTCAGTTGATGCCAACTCTCTTTTGAGAATAGTCCAGCAACACAGCTTAATTAGCAATTCATTTAAAATACAACTTAAATTTAATTATCGCCCGTCAAAGTTGGCACAAGCTATTTCAGTTGATGCCAACTCTCCCTTTTGAGAATCAAGTCCAGCAACACAGCTTAATTAGCAATTCATTTCAAAAAT